TTGCCGCTTTGCTGGATCCGCCAATGTAAAGAACACAAGCAAAAGCATTCCATCATCCATGTCTGAAAACTCCCGATTAGATCGATTCCGTGAGAAAAATGTGAAATTCCGTAAAATTTTGATGTCAACCTCGCGGACACATACCCGTGTATGAGGAAACAGATAAACTGGCAGATTCAAGTTAATAAAATTATGTAATTTTTTCACTACCCCCTCGGAACCCTGCCCCCTCCCCCCCTCTCCTCCGCCTCTCGTTGCCGAGAATGTAAAATACGTCCTCGCTGGAGCGCGCCATACTAAACTGAAAGGGTGGGACGCCAATTCCGAACGTCTGAGCGCTTCGGCGGCGCCAGGCAGACGGCCACCCCCTTCACCCACCCTCCCTTCCCCCCTCGTGGAACCCGCCCCCTCCCACCTTTTGGCGGGAATCTAAAAACGCACTCTATTTTCAACCCTTCGCTTTAGCGCTCCCAAACCCAGTGTCCCCGGCGTTACCGCGTTGCCGAACGTAACCGAAAAAACTATTATGTTTGTCTTTAATGAAATTGGACTACATTTTGGTAATTGGAAACTAAAATTTCTGGCTTATCTGTAAAAACACGTATGTGGAAGAGAAACTAAAGGAACATACGTTGCTTTACAGGAATTCTAGTTCTGAAGTGCAAAATGTAGTCCAATTAATCCTTGTCTGATCGACTCAACTCGTGAAACTCCTGACTTACACCAAAATTGAAGACGCATTGAGAATTGGGAGAAAGAGAAATAGAAGAAGAAGATTAAAGAAGATAGAGAAGAAGTAGAAAAAGAAAATAGGGTGAGGATCAAGAAACAGGAAACTAAGAAGAGGAAGAAGAGGGAAGAAGGATCAAACGGAACTATGTGCATTATGACGTGAGCCTAGTTACGCATGTATTCTTATGGGTCTCGAGGGCTCATGTCTTAATGCACATAGGTCCGTTTGATAGAAATACGTCCATTTAAAACATGATCGATTAATTTTTAAGTTTCAAAAATGTTAAATTTTAATTTTGAAAAAAAAAAAAAAAAAAATCATGCGTACTCTTTCTCTATAGCGAAATTATGCGTATAAAACGAAATTTCTGAATAAGTAAAAACTTGGCACACATAACTTTAAAAGAGGAACATGTTTGTATAAGAAACTAAAATTAGATAAAGATTATTCTATAGAAATTTATCCCGATGCTCTTTGAAAAGGTCTGATCTCTATGGCTTATGTTAGATTATTGTCATGTATGGTGTATTTTCAATTTAAATTCTCTTTCAGTCTTTTCTTGTTCTTGTCCGCTTAGAAAAAGAGGAAAAACTGCAGAAGAAAATGGAATAGATAAAGAGATTACAGAATTAGAGCAAAGGGAAAAAATGATAAAAATGAGCGAAGGAGGAAAAAAAGAAGAAGGGACATTCAAACGCATCAGTAGAAGGAGCATGAGCAAGAAAAGAGAGGGAGACTTCTCAATGTCAGCTCCCAGCTTTCTCACCTCTACTTTGCGCCACCTCTAAAAAAAAATGCGTAACTTGTTACCGTAATGTGACAACGTCGCAAATCGACTTTCCCGTCCCGTGCAAATATGTTCTACTTATCGCGAGAGATACCTGCCTTATATTCATAAACAAATCAACTACAATTTTACGAGTATTCATTCCGTACCGCCCTTTCTCTCTATACCCGACCCCCAATTTTTCTATCCGCTTTTTTTTCTTCGTGCTTTTCACTCCACTCCGGCGTCATATAAACCTTCATTTATCTCGCAATCTTCAAATAAATGATAGTGGAACGCTGTCGCGAACTTTACTCCGCCGTCGGGTTCCAGATACGACAGACGAAAGTTCCCGAATTGGAAAGAAAACATCAGCTAGCTGACAAGAAGGCTTCATCGAAACTCATAATGGCACTTTCCAACACTTTGCCACTTTAAATGCATGTTTATTAAATAAGAGAGAAAGATGATACATTGAGCTACAAGCAAAAAAAAAACAAAATGCAGTTTATTCAATTGCATAATACTAACTACAAGCAATTAAGCGACTGAAAAAGAAAGACTCATCATATTTAGATCGTAACAACGATGACGAAGAGTTCCTTAACATCATATTTTGCTACATTTGCATGTATTTACCACCATTAACTAGTGCCAAAATCGCGATTAAATCATGTATGTTTTATTTCATAAACACATTGGAACGCCAATTGGCTGTCTAAGCTATTAAAAAAGAAAGGAAGGTGATACGTCGAGGTATAATCCGAAAAATAAAACCAACCTCCTCCTCCTCCCCCCCCCCCCCTATATTATAATCAACATGATACTAACTACAAGCAAGCAATCGACGAAGAAAGGATGACAAAAAAAACCTATACCTCGATGTAAAATTGTATCATCTTCCTTTACCATTTAATAACTCAGCCAGCCGATTGGCATTCCAATGTGTTTATGAAATAAAATGTGCATTATTTAATCGCGATTTTAGAAACAATTGATGGTGGTAAAAACATACAAATCTGGCAAAATAAGATGCTAAGGAACTCTTTGTCATCGTTGTTACAATAGAAAGCCTAAGAGTCACATTGTTTTTCAAGAGAATGGAACGATGACCATTTTTAGGATACAACTATTCGACCTCCCATGTCGTGCTGGAGTATCACTCCTAATTGAAGGCGAATCATAGCCGCATGTGCACACTGACTGACGCTTGAACTGTCTTTCTGTCGAGACTGGATCGATTTAGCATGCATTTTCTCTGGTTACGTGATTTGAGAAGCGCTCAACGATCGGGAGCTATGAAAAGTATACATTCATAAATAAAATCTTGATGAAATCAAACTTTCGCTCCCCATAACTGCATCTCTTAATTTTAAGTGGGAATTAACTGGTTTGTAATAGATTAAACCTGGAATGATCCAGTGGTCATCTAACATTTACTGTGAGAACCGATTTCACCATTAATAAAATTAATCAAAACTAAATTAAATAACTCATGCTAAATGGTGCCAAACCAACGAAATTTTGAGTTTTCGATGGATAAATTTACACATTCCGCTCATATAAGAAACAATAACCCAGTCGAATTAAATCGCACAGCAAACGTTATATTATAACGTAAATTATCGACATTTTCGTGCATACCGTGTGTATCGACGGTGTAAGTCGGCAATCGCATAATTTGGTTTGCGACGTCGCAGACTTCTCGTTATACTTTATTTTTTAAACGGAAAACTACTCAACGGCAATTCTTTAAAACTGCGGTGATTTTTCTTCTCTGTGTGAAGAAAATTCTGCAAAAACTTCAAGGAATGATGTCGATTTGTTCTCCTTCGAAAAAATAACACAGAGGCGGAGATTTTTAGACACCGCAAACGAGTTACGTGATCGCTGACTTACACCGTCGATATATGTGTGTGTAGGTACTCTAGTTTTGCGTGGAGAGGAGCCATCAAAAATCGGGGATGCGATACGAGCTTCTTCCGTAATTGTATAAATCAAAATTGCCTTCAAAGGGGCATCGTTTCGGATTCATGCAGGCTGGTAGCGTCTATTATATCCGAGGGTAAAAATTCGGCTTAGGTGAGGGAACGACAACGGTGTCGCGGGCGGAAGCGAAGAATGACGATGCTAAAATATGCAATAATGCGGACGCCAAGCAGTCAGCATGAGAGCGACGCCCGGTAAATCATCCTTCCGGTGGTAATTTGTCAACCGTCCCTGGGGAATCAATATGATAGTGTTAAGCCGGATGCATAGATTTCAGCCGAACGGCAGCGTTAATCTCGACCGGTGGCGCGGCGTGAATTGCGATATATCGATTGTTACGCCATTTAAATCTACGGAAAAGGATCGATAAACAGGGTACACCTTAATAAGCGATTCTTTACCATAGGTTTGAACGCCATAAGAATCGATACATCGCAATTCACGCCACGCCACTGATCTCGACCCCGCGGTTCGCTGATCGGGGGGCCACCGGCGCCGACGCTGCACCGTCCACCGTTTCACCTCGTGCATCTCTTGCATCATGCACCACCGAAGGGACCGGCTCCGGCTAAATTAGTTGTTTCACCCTAATTCCGTCCCTTCCTCGTCCTGTCAGTTTCAGTTGGACATCATGAATCGAGGGCAGATCCCGAGTTCCCCAGATTCTATCAGTTTCCGTCCTACGCCTGATGGATGGACCCACGACAAAAATTTGTGATTGAGAATTTTCAGGTGTCTGAAGTTTTGTGAATTTCCTCTTTTGCTGCAATCACACACTGAATGTGGGAGCTGAATGTGGCTTGAATGTGGAAGTCATCGGCCCGATGCCTGACGATTCTCAGTAACCATCGGACTAATGTTTAATTTGTCTGAACTATTCGAGTAGATTCGATACACGTCTGGATGAAAATAACTCGAATTTGCTAAATTTCAGCCGTTCGGCGATGATTGTTGACTTCCACATTCAGCTGCTAAATTCAGCGTGTGATTGCGGCATTAGAGAAAAAGTAGAGTAACTTAATAGGGAGAGAATGGTCACTGGATTTTTATCACTGGAAATTTATCCGACTTGAATCGATGATGAAGTTACTCCTTTGGCGTAATGTCGTAATTGCATTCAGAGATAAACCTTTTTGTTCATTTAATTCTTCTTCTTTTAGGGTCTATGTGGAAATGGAGATACAACCTCACGTTACAGGAGCGACAATAATTGGATCTTTTACAAATTGACCTCGTATGACAGCCTCCGCAATCTAATAATAAAAAAGAATGAAATATTTATTTTTGAAGCTTCAAAATATATACGCAAGCTCTTATAAAGTTTATGGCGAGATAAGGATATGTTTGGGCTGCATGCCAGAAAGTACGAGAGAACGCTCAACAGTTCAATTAGTCTTGATTGGTTTTTTGAATGGCTGGTTTTCATTTTGTATCATTCATTCTCTTAAATAAATTTGGTCTTTTTGCCAAAATTATATGTAATAACGTATACTTTCTGTTTGTGTGTTTCAGGTATGTGTTCATCCACCCTCTAATGAATTGGGACGCTTACACCAAACAAATACGTTTTTGTTTTGGGCAAGTTTCTTTCACATATTCTCTCCTTGCATGAACTGGTAAGAACGAAAAAATCCCGATAAATGCATGAGAAGTTACTACAACATTATATAAATGCAAGACCCAACATTCGTAAGTTCAGACCAAATAAGTATTCTAAAAAGGAGTACCATTTAGCCCCCTTCAAACACCAAAAATATAAAATACCAATATTCTTATAAACAGTCGAAAAAGCTCAAACTTTCATAATGATCCTGTCTTTAAAGTTCTTAGTTAGTTATGACCCGTTTTAACCCAGGCAACATGCTCTCCTTAAGAATCGGAACTTTTTGATGGAATATCACAGTTGACAATGAACATTCGTAATTTATTTCCTCGAGCTCTGATATCAAGCCGTTTTAAGAAGCGATCTCACAGAAATAAATTTGACTAAGCAAATAAACGGAATTATAGAAATGGCAACAAGAAACGTCAACTGGAAACTTTTATTAGCGTGTAATGCACCATCAAGTTTCCTGGATTGCGACTAGTGGAACTGTTTCCTTGTTTAATTGAATTATCTATTCATTATACGGGTGCCGAGGCACTTTTAGCGAGATGAATCTATATTTTAAATTTCATAATTAATTTAATTGTTAGGATTGTTAGATATGATTCGTCCAGGACGCCGGCTCCAAGCCCAACGCTGGAAAACCACGTATTTGATGGAATGGAGTCGGTGGAGTTACGTGGTTTCTGTCCAGGACGACAGAGCGCGCTGGCTCCGTCTGACTCGCTGGTTGACTAACTGCCGCGGCGCGGCGTAGCTCTAATTCTGCCATGAATGAAAAATACTAGCCTACTTTCCACTTTTCTCCTCAGTGTTTACAGTCTAACGAATGAGAATTAATTTCGCCGGATGAGACTCAAACTCCAGTTGCTTTTAAATAATTAAATTCTCCTCCCCTCCGTCCCCCGTAACCTCGGCGTCTTCCCTTCTTTTGCCCTTTTTTGTGCAAATTTGATTTTAATCCAATTTCGGCCTTTACAACTGGTGCGTCGAGTTAACTATCCGGCACCCACCATTCTTCCTCGCCGTGTTTCTGTCTCCCTCTTGTCATTGTGCATCTCCGTCCTCCATTACTGCCGTGCTAAGGAAGAACGCCGTATGAACCTTCAAGCGTTGCCAAATATAAAAAGATAAAACACGAATTTCCTGGTAAACTTACCTAAATTTTTCTTGAAATTTTTCAGATAATGTTGACCACATTATTACCTATAGTTCCTGGAAATTTAAAAGAAAATTATTCACAATTTTCCTCAAAAATAAATATTTTATCGAAAGAAATTTGGCAACTTTTGAATGTTCATACGGCATTACGGCGTTCTTCCTTAGCACGGCGGTATTCCACCGGGCGAGAAATTCCGAGTGAAACGACGTTCGTGATAAATCCGAGAAATATTACAAAACAGTCCTCATGAATGAAACTATCCATTCCGTTTATTACAGTTTATCATTCCAGTCCTTCTATGAAAAAATTATCAACGCCATAAGAAAGAAAGGAGATTAGTTCTCTCATCACGAGAATTTCATTAAAATATCAGTTGCTCTCGGAAGAGAGTGAATATCTCCTCGTGTTTTAAGTATCTAGCGGGTTTAAAAATTCGTTCACAAAACTAACCTCAAGCGCTTTGCGTTTCAGCGCTTGCAATAGTAATTGATATGCCCTTATCGTTCATTAAACAGATAGCTTTCATCAAAATTCACATTATTTTTTCATATTAAAGGGAATGTCCATCTTTTTTTCTGGCATTCTATTGTTCCTTAATATAGCCACAGTTGATGAAGCTCTGTGTTCATCCTGCAAGTATTTCGATCAAAAATATCAATGGCAAAGGTGCGGAAACATGTATCTTCCTTGTGTTGTGTCAAAATGTACGCTCCTATTGTATTTTTCAGAGGAACATATAAGCCAATTGTATAACTTGGAATTTCATAAATTATTCTGCTATTAGGGAAAGAAAATCAAGGACATTTTCAAGCGATGAAGAATTTGTAGATGTCTAAAACTTGATAAATTTCGTGCTCCAGTAGAAACTACTGAGTGAACTGAACACGAGGATATCCTCATAGTTCATAAATTGAACAATTACATATATTATGGGAGAAAATCAGAGGATATGACAAAATGATCTAATCTGTTGAAATACATGCGTTTAAATGGTAAATGCCACCTAATGACGTCACAAGGTGAACCAGCTTTTCACTTTTAAATCTATTTTTCTATGATTTCTCATATCAGAAGGAAACTATGAAATATACTGCAAAGTCGGCTCACTAAGCACTCTCAGATGAGGCAATAAGCATTTTTCATGCAAATTCTCCATTTACTTCACTGGAAAAAAACACATTGGATCTAGAGTCCAGACTCTTGAAAATATTGACAAGAAAAAATACTCATGATTCGATCAGATTTTTGCTTAGATCAAAAGGAAATCCGCTCAAATTAAGAGGCATGGTTCTTGATTTAAGCAAAAATCCGATTGAATCAAGAACATTTTTTCTTGTCGATGTTTTTAAGAGTCTGAACTCTAGATCCAATGTTTTTTCCCCCGGTGTTCCTCATTGGATGACAGAGTTCATTATCGTTGAATTGGAAAAAAACATGAAATTCAATTTTCTAAACAATTATTCAAATCAATGACGATTTTTTATTTGACCCATAGAACGGGTTCAATCTGGTTTTCGGTGTAATATAAACCTGCCTCCACGGGCGGATTCAAGAGAAGCGAAGTGCAACATGTAAGGTATTGTGCCGCCACTCACCCATCCGCGCACAGGGATGAAAACAGTGGCGTGGCGTGAATTGCGATATATCGATTGTAATGCCATTTAAACCTGTGGAAAAGGATCGATCAACAGGGTGTCCGCAGCGAACACCTTAATAATCGATTCTTTACCATGGGTTTAAATGGCATTACAATCGATATATCGCAATTCACGCCACGGCACTGAATGGAAACCGCTCCGCGGCTACCGATTTCACAATTCGCGTGTATTTTCAGCATACCACACGTAATCACTGTTCCCGGTAGTAGCGTATTGTGCATTCCCATCAAAACAAAACCGCACGCGTGCACTTTTACCCTTTTATTTTTAATACCCTTTATTTCCACCCCGCGAGCCCGACCCGAGCGCCCAGCACGTGAGCTTTCCACCGCCGCGGTGGTGAAAAATGCAAATTTTCAGCGCACGACATTTCTCTCCTCTGCTGCCGGGACGCGAGGGTGAAAAAAGTGCGTTGCGAAGGGGACGTCTCCCCCCCAGCTCCCTCCCCGCCTCGAAGGGGATGAATTACGAGCGTCCGAATGATTTGACCGGGAAAAGAGCTGCCGCGCGACCCTCCGGTTGAATTGTAGACGTGGGTTTTGCCGTGATTTCGCGGGGAGGGGGAGGGGGTTTTCGGGGCTCCGAGCTTAAAAAACAGGTGGAAAAGCGGAAAATAATTCATCTACTGCCAAAGTTGCCGGGTGGGGGCAGAGCCCGCAACGAGAGGGATCTACTCCCGTGTTGTTATTTGCACTCCGTATCCGCGACAGGATGAAAAATCACTCTTCGTTTTGTGATCCTATCAGTCGAACTTTCCTGGGATTTATCTTACGGATAAAGTTGACACCAGGCATGCCGTGTTCGAATGCTCCCTCGAAGATCCTCTAAATTTCCTCACGAAAGTTCGCCGTTTAGCTTTTGGTGTGCATCGGAAGAAAAATACTTCTCATTCAACGCGATAGCGATAGCCCCAAATCACAACAGTAAAATACAGAGTTACAACAAATGGGTTTTCAAGGCTAAAAACTGAGTAGATAAACACGGACAAGACGTTTCAAGCCAATCGCATGCCCACACTATCACCTGGAACAAAAGCTGAAATTTAAACAATTGAATCGAGAAAATGAGCATACAACTGACCGAAGTAGGAATCAGTGCAGAGTTCGTAGTGATTCCTACCTCGGTCAGCATGTTGCATGTTGCATGTTCATGTTCGGGTTTTAATTTTATAAATATTAGCTTTTGTTCCAATTAAGAATGAGAATGTAATCTGTCTAAAACGTCCTAGTTGTGTTTATTTACTCTGTTTTTAGCCCTATGAACTCATTTGTTGTATTTCTTGTATTTTTTCCTTGCGTAATAGTATGTATCCTTTCCACACTGATTATAGCTGGACTGCATTTTGTCATGGGAACGGAGTTCCCCATGATATTACAATCGTTCCGTTGCTTTCGCTATGGGATTCCCTATACCTCTGCGACCTTGAGCGTTTCGCCCAGTCTCCGATTTTTGGTTGATTTTCCGATGTATCAAAAACCGTTGTATTTTTTAGCCAATCATGTTTCTACGTCAAGTTGTGTTGATTTCTAAAATTCGCTTTCAGCGAGTTTTTT